TCTTACTGATGTTTACTTGAGGAAGGGAATGAAAAAGAGGCAGCCACATTCTTCTTCATAGTGTCCATTGACAGGACAAGAGGCAATGGGCACAAACTGAAGCACATGAAATTCCATCTGAACACAAGAAAACACTTTGTTACTCTGACAGTGGTCGAACACTAGAACAGGTTGCTCAGAGAGGCTGTGAAGTCTCCACTTGCAGAGATATTCAAAATCTGACTGGACATGATCTTGGGCAATCTGCTTTTTCTGACTATGCTTGAGAAGGTTGGACTAGATGATCAAGAGGTGCCTTCCAATCTGAATGATTCTGTGAAACGCTCTCAAGTTTCATTCGTGGTTTCACCAGTGCAACAGAAGAAAGCCAGGAAGTTAATTTAATTCCTTGACATGTACAGGAGGGAGAATGATAACAGCTTATGTGGTTCCTGTTATGCCATTTCCCTGCCAACAAAAGCTCACTGCCTTGGTCTCTGGCATCTCTCCATGAGCCCCTCACTAGATGGAGTAGCATTCCAGCTGTTCCTCATCTACTGGGCTCCAGTAAAATTCTCATCTTCCTTCCAGTTGCCCATTGTTCTCCATATTCACTACATGCTTCCTTACACCCGCTTCTGATCCTCTTATTCTGCAAGAAGTTTGCTGATCTTTCTTGTCCATTTCATTGTATGAGAGCTCTGCTCAGCCAAGGCTGCACTTGTCCTTCAACGGCACAGTTCACAGCTGCTGTTATATTCCGTTGCCTTAGCAATCTCAGGCAGATGTCAACTTCCCTGGGTTTTTCCCCGTAAGAGTTTGCTTAGGTATAGAAAGTTCAAAGCCACTGATTAATTAGTAAACACTTTGGAAACATCAACTTTTAAAGCAGGAAATTTGAAATTTTTCAAGACAACATAGGCAGGGGCTGAAAAAAAATGGAGATATTGAAACATGCACAGCACAAAACAGATGTCAACTAACCTTTGACAACACAGGAGGAAGAGAAAGGTCACTGACTCCCACTGTGCAGCACACACTCCCAGCTGCCCAACGTACACAGCACAGCACGGTGTGGTATCACAAGCCAGATGAGGGCTTAAATAGCAGGCTGGTCACCGCACCCTGGTTGGTGACTATATCCTGCTGGACCTGAGCTGGCTTGTACAGTGCCATCCTGAGCGTTTCCATGCCCTTAGCAAGGCTATTGC